GCGACGCTTGGGAAGAAGAGATATCTGACCTAATTTTTAACATAACTAACGGGTAGGGTTTTGTGAAATGGCCTTAAACATTGTATTAAAATGGGCCTATATATCTTATTATTTTGCATGATTTTGGTTAAAATTTATAATTTATAATACAAAATAATTATTAAAAAAAGGGGTGCCTAGGCCCCGATTACTCCTTTCAGCTCTAAGCCCATGCCTGCCGCCCACCTACTGCCTACGGATTTTTCGAACATATATTAAAAAAAGAAAAGCATATATATGAAAATGGTGTATCATAAAATACAAATGGGACATATACAAAAAAAATTATTTTTATGAAATATTTTCATATGTCTTATGTACGATGGTACACCACATAGTAGGGGCGGAGCTATAGCAAGGCCTGTCATGGCCCTGGGCCCCCATTTAATTTTCAATCTATTGTAATATATTATAAAATATATGATATAGCAATACCGTTATTGCAATTAGATTTGTGTTGACCCTCTCAGTTGAAGATGAAAAACCAATGTGGAAGTGACTTTGAAATTTTGGCCCCTCTATGCTAGGAATCCTAGTTCCACCACTGCCAGACAATTGGTGTACCTAAACATAAAAATATTTCTCCTCCCCCTTCCCCTTTCTAACTATGCTTAAAAAATAAAATAAAATAACTACGAAGAAATCTATGGCCCTACTATGACACGAAGATTCTAATTGCTGGAATTAAATATAGAATTATGACCTTTTTTTTTAAATATTTGATTGATATTTTATTCTAATGGGAGGGGGCACCGACAATGGGATTCAAATTGATGCCATGGAGTTTCTTGCATTATGACTATTTTTTTATTCCGTCGATATTCTATTCTAAGGGGAAGCCGCACCCACAATGGGATTCAAACTGATGTCATGGGGATTGCAAACAAAGACCTCAACCACTGAGGTAAACCCCCACTGGCAAATATAGAATTATGACTTTAAACTTCAGCTAATAAGGTGTTAATAGAATCTCCAAAGCACACTTTTTTTTTTCTGAAAAAAAATCCGAAGGAGACATTTTTTTTTTTTTGAGTTACAACAATATTCTCATTCTAAGGGGGCGGAGGATGTTTGACACAAGTGCTGCTCATCAAGATCTTCGATAGATTTGTGCAACTGATCAATGCACGCTTTGAAAGAGGCATCCCTCATATGCTTGACTATGAAACCAAGTGGAACAGTCAAAAAACTGAGGAGCAAATTGGCAAAATCCTGCCCTGCTTCGGCATAACAAACAATATCCTTTGAGACGCTAACTGTGAGCTTAACAACAATCTTTTCTTCTTCCTCCTAATTCATTATGTCTCCAAGCAGTAGAGATTCAATACTTGTCAATATTAGTTGATCAAGGCTCAAATTCGGATTTGGAATTGGTACAGGATCAAGCTTTAGTAGAGTTTCAGACAGAGGTTTCTTTGATACTAATGAACGCAGAAGCAAGTTCGAAACCTGGAAAAATAAACCTTGAGGTCAAAAACCACAAACACTACAGTTGTATTAAAAGAAAAATAAAACAATTGGCAAACAACATTCAATTACCTCATGAGCTCCTATATTCAAATTCTTTTGTGCAGAAACTTTTGATTAGTTTGTCTAGGGAATATGATTCTATTGCTGAAGTGATAGAAGAAACAAAGGACACTGAGACTATAGGAGTTCAGGAGGTTATTGGTTCTTTGAAATCCCATGAACAACGTTTGCAAAGGCACACTGAGAAATTGACAAAAAAGGCATTTTCTAGTCGAAGTGTGAATCCTAGGGATCAATCAAACACAGGTCAACTTGGAAGTTCAAAGTCTAAGAAGAACTGGAAACCACAGAAATAGAAGAAAGGGGATGCAAAGTCTGAGAACAATTCCAAGAAGGAAAACCAGAATGAAGGAGCAAAGGGTCCTTGCAAAACATGTGACAAGCTTCACTATGGTGCTTGTTGGTTCAAAGGCAAGCCTAAATGCTACAAATGTGATAGGTTTGGTCATTTGGCAAAGGACTGCAGAGGCAAACCAGCTCAGACAGCTAACTATGCAACACATAAGGAGGAAGAAGGTACAATGTTTTATGCATGTCATTCTGCTTCTGTAGTGAAAAATAACGATGTGTGGTATGTAGATGGTGCTTGTAGCAATCATATGACCTCACATGAATCCCTTATAATCAATGTTGATACAAATGTCACTACAAAGGTAAAAATGGGCACAAGAGATTTGGTGCAGGGCACTAGTAAAGGTACCTTAGTGATTGACACTGAATTTAGGCCTAGATACATTAAGGAAGTCATGCTTGTACCAGGGGTGGATGAAAATCTACTCAGTGTTGGTCAGATGGTGGAACATGGATCTTCCTTGATTTTGGGAAACTCAATGGTGGAGGTATTTGATGACAGCTCAATGGAACACTTGGTTGCTAAAGTTCCAATGACAGGGAATAGATGTTTTCCACTCTCTCTGAAATAAGTGAATTCTGTGGCTATGAAGGCAACTATTGTAGATACTATTTGGTGTTGGCATAGGAGGTTTGGTTTATGGACTGCCAAAAATTGGGAATGCAGAGGGAATTTGCTAAGGCTTTGCAATGGGGAAAGCACATAGAGACTCCTTTGGTAAAGAGAAGACTTGGAGAGCAAGTGAGCCACTGGAACTCATCTACTCAGATGTTTGTGGACCAATGCAGACCACGACTATTGGTGGAAACATCTACTCAGATGTTTATGGACCAATGCACATAGAGAATCCTTTGGTAAAGAGAAGACTTGGAGAGCAAGTGAGCCACTGGAACTCATCTACTCAGATGTTTGTGGACCAATGCAGACCACGACTATTGGTGGAAACATCTACTCAGATGTTTATGGACCAATGCACATAGAGAATCCTTTGGTAAAGAGAAGACTTGGAGAGCAAGTGAGCCACTGGAACTCATCTACTCAGATGTTTGTGGACCAATGCAGACCACGACTATTGGTGGAAACATCTACTCAGATGTTTATGGACCAATGCACATAGAGAATCCTTTGGTAAAGAGAAGACTTGGAGAGCAAGTGAGCCACTGGAACTCATCTACTCAGATGTTTGTGGACCAATGCAGACCACGACTATTGGTGGAAACATCTACTCAGATGTTTATGGACCAATGCACATAGAGAATCCTTTGGTAAAGAGAAGACTTGGAGAGCAAGTGAGCCACTGGAACTCATCTACTCAGATGTTTGTGGACCAATGCAGACCATGACTATTGGTGGAAATAGATGCTTCTTGACTTTTATTGATGATTGCACTAGAATGTGTTGGGTGTATTTCATTCAGTACAAGTCTAAAGTGTTCAATATTTTCAACAACTTTAAGGCTATGGTGGAGCTACAAAGTGGCTACAAGATCAAAAGGCTTAGAAGTGATAGAGGAGGAGAGTATACCTCACTTGAATTTTTGAAGTTCTGTGAAGATGTAGGCATGGAAAGGCAGCTCACTGTGGCTTACTCACCTCAGCAAAATGGGGTTGCTGAGAGGAAAAACAAGACCATTGTTGAAATGAGTAAGGAAATGATGAATGAGAAGAGGCTTCCATTTAAATTCTGGGGAGAGGCAGTGAATATTGCTGTCTACATTCAAAACAGGTGTCCCACAAAAGCTTTGCATAATTCAACCTCATTTGAAGCTTTTAGTGGAAGGAAGCCAAGAGTCAAACATTTGAATGTATTTGGCTCTATATGCTTTTGTCATGTGCCTAGTCAGTTGAGATCAAAACTGGAGGATTCAGCTATCAAATGCATTTTTGTTGGCTATGGCAAATGTGAGAAAGGTTATAGAGTGTATAATCTGCATACTAATAAAATTGTAGTTTCTAGAAGTGTGATTTTTTATGAAGGATGTTTCTGGAATTGGAAGAAGCAGAATGTGGAACATGTCACAGTTCCCATGAGTTTTGAAGAGCATCCTAGTGCTACTGAAGAAGAATATGAAGTTACAACTTCATCTACACCAGAAACTCATATTGGAAATTACTCTGGAGCAAATGAAAAAATTTCAGGCTCTACTAATGCTGGCTCACAAAGTGAATCACCAAGTTCTACTCCTGTGAAGCTCAGAGATATAACTGAGATTTATGCTCGATGCAATATGAGCATCATTGAGCCATAAAATTTTGAAGAAGCCTCAAGGGACAAAGCTTGACAACAAGCAATGGAAGCAGAGATGGAAATAATTAAGAAGAATGAGACTTGGGAACTAGTTGACAGACCTAGTGAAAAACCTATATAATTGGTGTTAAATGGGTGTATAAAACCAAATTGAATCTTGATGGTTCAATTCAGAAGCATAAAGCTAGGTTGGTGGTCAAGGGCTATGCACAAAAGCCTGGAATCGATTTCAATGAGACATTTGCTCCTGTGGCTAGATTAGACACTATCAGGACTCTCATAGCTTTGGCAGCTCAAAAGGGTTGGTGGCTATATCAGTTAGATGTCAAATCTGCCTTTCTAAATGGTGTGCTTAAGGAGGAAGTATATGTGGATTAGCCTGATGGTTTTGTGGTTAAACACTATGAGGATAAGGTGTACAAATTGAAGAAAGCCTTGTATGGTTTGAAATAGGCACCAAGGGCCTGGTATGAAGAAATCAATGTTTATCTCATCAGTTGTGGGTATGTTAGAAGCACAAGTGAGGCAACATTGTATTGCAAGACCAAGGAGGATTCAGGAACACTAATTGTCTTAATTTATGTTGATGACATAGTGTATACAAGCATCAGTGAGGAGCTTATTACTGAATTCAAATAAGAAATGATGAGAAGGTATGAAATGACTGATCTGGGACTTCTATATCATTTTCTTGGAATGGCTGTGATTCAAACTAAACATAGCATCTTCATTAGTCAAAAGAAATATGCATTGACTTTATTGAATAAGTTTGGGTTACACCAATGCAAGCCTATTAGCATTCCTTTAGTGACAAGTAAGAAGTTATGCAAAGATGATGGTAGATGAGAATCAATACAGACAAATTGTGGGGAGTCTATTGTACCTAACTGTTACAAGGCCAGACATAATGTTTGCAGCTAGTCTTTTGGCAAGGTTTATGCATTGTCCTACCAAGAAGCACTGTGGGACAGCAAAAAGGGTTTTGAGGTACATACAAGGGACAATAGACTACGGTATTGAATATCAGAAAGGCAATAAGGCTATACTGATAGGATATTGTGACAGTGACTGGAGTGGAAGTCAAGACGACATGAAGAGCACCTCAGGTTATGCTTTCTCATTTGGAAGTGGTGTGTTTTCTTGGGCATCAGTCAAGCAACATAGTGTTGCTCTCTCCACAGCTAAAGCTAAGTATGTTAGTGCAAGTGAAGAACTACTCAGGCTATATGGTCGAGATTTGTGCTTGAGGATTTTGGAGAATTGCAGACAGAAGCAACTCCATTGATGGTAGATAACACCTCTGCCATTGCAATAACCAGAAATCTTGTTTTCCATCAAAAGACCAAGCATATCAATCGCAAATATCACTTCATCCGAGATGCTTTACAAGAAGGTGTAGTGGATTTGAGATATTGCAAATCTGAAGAGCAAGTGGCTGATATCTTCACAAAAGCTCTGCCTAAGGATTCGTTCAACTATTTGAGAGGACTGGTAGGAGTTAAACCAGTTAACAATTTAGAAGGGAATGTTGAAATGTAAATTATTCCCTAGTTTAATCCTTAGCTAGACAAGTGTCAGGCTTTGATGCCATCACACATTGTAGGACTTATATGTCCTAGTTTTATGCCAACTGTACAGCTCATATTGCTAACACAATTGTAAGGCTAGATTTGTTTTCATTTCTTGTTGATGAGCACATAATTATTACATGTAATATCCCTTAAATGATATTTGTTAGTATCTTATGGGCTCGTTTGGTACACAGGATTGGCTTGGACTGGCTTGGACTAAATTTAGTACCATGTTTGTTTTATCTAATCCTAGTCTTAGATGGGATTGCTAATACCGGGCCCACCAAAAACACCTCCTTAGGAGGGGACTACTAATCCCATGTGAAAAGGGAGGATTAGCTAGTCCTAATGCTCACCAATGTATAAAATGCATATATTATATTGTAAAATTAATAACATATATTATTATTATTAAACTTACTTACACATATACTATAATGTACATATATACATGTATATACACATAAATATATCATATATGTATATATGTATATATATACATACACATATATACATATATAATATATATAATATACATATACATATATACATGTATATTATTATTATAATATACCCATATACACATATACATATTAATATTATAATAATAG